AGTCTGCACAACTCCTGCCTGCTCGGCTACTCCATCTCTTAATCATAATATCCACACTCGTACAATAGATCCTACGCAGCACAAGACATTAGACACACCCAACTACACTGCATCAATGGTTCGCCTGCAACTAACGCATAAAGATATCAGCACCCGCAACTACTGTAGCGAGCAAACTGATTCACAGATATCATAAAAAGTCAAAAATCACAAAAAGAATAAACATTTTGCTGCGAATAGAAACACCAGCATGAAGAAATCAGCAGAGTCATAGCCATCCCAACCCAGGTGAAAAACCCTCTGGCTTCGTGCTACATAACTGTAATCAAATAAGCAACAATTCATGAATGGTGTCAGCCCGCTCATGTATATTCAAAATATTTCCATTGCATGTGGCTGACCATATCCATATTAAAATAAATGAGATACAAAGTTACCCCTGCAAAATGCTGCCCCAAATGTGCAATTACACTCTGTGAATGTCTTAAAGTAGTTAATAATAATTGTTTTGTACTACTGTACTACTAACTCAATATTTCATTCCATAAGAAAATAATAAAAAGGGTAGTTAAATATTTGCATTGTGCATTCATACTACTTAGTTATAATAATGTTTGAGAAAACTAACAATTATTGTAGAAAATATTAAAGGTCACTTGTAATCCTTGTATTGTCCTATGTAGTTCTGCGGACTTTGAGTAACAACAAGAAACCATAACATTTCTTAAAAACTATTTATCATATATATCCAATAATATTATGAATTAAAACATATCACCACATCGAATTCATCTGCAGCTTGTTAATGGCGTTTGGTGCTATTGCATGCATTCACTTGCAGCGTTCGCACCGACTCAAACTTAATATCTAATCATTAAAGGTCCCATCTGTCTGCATTTCTACGATTCTTAAAAGGTCCCATGTCATGGCCATTGCTACTGATCATAATTCCATTGTTGAGGTCTACTAGAATAGATTTATATTCTTCAATGTTCCAAACTCACATTGGTTTCTCATACAGCATCTCTGTATAGTATGTGTATTCACTCTCTGTCCTACACGGCTTGTTGGAGCTCCTGCCCCCCCCTCCCTATGAGCCCACTGTGCTCTGATTGGTCAGCTCGCCCACTCTGTTCTGATGAGTCCACCACCGCTACAGCTGAACATCAGTGATTATGTGTTACAATGGCTGTTAGCAACCAGAAAATGACACCAGCAATGACAAACAGATGAGAATGCTGCGTGGGGTCTGGGTGCCGTGTTGGCGGGACGTTGNACCAGTAATGACAAACAGATGAGAATGCTTCGTGGGGTCTGGGTGCCGTGTTGGCGAGACGTTGCGCGGCTCACTACTGCGAGGAGCGGACAGTGTGAGCTCTATTACTGGTGTCGTTTCCTGGTTGCTGCGTNCCACAATGGATAATCCACTGGAGTGGTGGGCAGAAAACGTGCACCGCTTCCCCCGCTTTCGAGGAGCTACCTGGCTATTCCAGCCACAAGCACCCCGAGTGAGAGGGTTTTTTCCCTGGCAGGCAACACTGTCACCCGAAAGCGGTCAAGCCTCCTTCCCTCACATGTCGATGCGTTGGTGTTCAAACCAAAAATATGGAAAGGTGGACGTTATCGTGGAGGACAGCGAATAAAGTGTTGCGCAATGCGCTGTTGCGCACTGGATTTACGTGGCATTTATGTTAACAAGAGTTTTTTGCTGTCGATTTTGGTGAGTCCAGTGTTTGTTATTTACTCAGCCATGTAACACAAATTAAAATGCAGTGTTTAATGTTACTGTATGAGTTCCAATAGAAAATACAGTTGTAAACCTCTCTTTGTGTGTCTTTATTATGACGTAACGACTAGTCGACTACTATTTTTGAAAAACTAGTCGACTAGTAAATATTGGTAGTTGTGAAACCCCTAGCGTCACAGTTTCAGGACTGAGTGTGTGTGTGTGTGTGTGTGTGCGTGTGCGTGTGCGTGTGCGTGTGTGTGAGGAGCTCCACGGATTGGTCCCGTCACTGTACCCAGGAAGAAAAAGAGAAATCTCCAACAAGGCGTTCTGGGGCAGCATACACAGGTCTTTTCTGTGTTAAGAGTTTTACTCGCTACAGGGTGTACTTTGAGGGTTTGTGACTCTGCAGACCGTTTACATGCATAAAAAGCTACATACTACACAAGGGGACGGGTAATAACCAGAAAAGCATGACATGGGAACTTTAAAACACTAAAAAGCATGATAGGCCAACTTAAATGAATGTTCAGACCAATAACACTCCTGTGGTAAGGAAAAGGACAAGGTAATGCTGTGGCTGCTGCGACTTGGAATTAGTTACAGATTGATTCCGGTCTATCGGAGCTAGTCTCTTCAAGTGTTTGAAAGAAAATGTCTAGTTTTATTTTAGTCATGACCCCCCCCAGACCCCCCCAATAAAGCAAAACTGCACGTTTCAGAGAGGCCTTTTCTTGTGGCCAGCCTAAGGCACACCTGTGCAATAATCATGCTGTCTAATCAGCATCTTGATATGCCACACCTGTGAGGTGGGATGGATTATCTCGGCAAAGGAGAAGTGCTCACTATCACAGATTTTTTCAGATTTGTGAACAATATTTGAGAGAAATGGTTATTTTGTGTATATAGAAAATGTTTTAGATCTTTGAGTTCATCTCATGAAAAATGGGAGCAAAAACAAAAGTATTGCGTTTATATTTTTTGTTCAGTGTATGATCTGAAAGTTCTCTCTGTAACTGTAATTTGTTTTTATTTCTGAAACTTTGTTTAATGTGCTGCTGCTTGTCTCGGCCTAGGAAACTTTTAAAAAGAAGATTTAATTTATCTCAAAGAGGTTAAATACATCTAAATCACATCTGAAGGCCATACGCTCCACTTACCATCGATGTTGAGCATCATGTTCCACATGGCAGGACGGACGGACTGATGGAAACCAAACCACACCTCCCTGCCTCCACCCAGAGGATGATAGTAGCCCTCCGGAGGGGAGAAGAACGAACGGCCCACAGGAGTATACCTGAGCGCACAAAGACAGCAGTTTGAATAATGAACCGATCCACAGAAAGTCAAATATCTGAGGAAAGCAGTGCCCTGTAGTTTAGTTGATACGAAAGCTGCTGAGAGAGAATCAATCGCAGGAAAATGCAATTTCATCATAATATAATTAGATCTCGGAGACGCAAGACAGCAGGAAATTAAGTAATACAGACAAATAAGAGATAAAAAGCAATAACTCTGCCAACAAATGTGGAAAATGTGACGTGTTGTGGGAAATGTTATGAGTGTCGGTACCTCATGGAAGGCAGGTGCCGCGTGATGACATCCAGAGCCTGGACCGAATCTTCGGGGACCTCGTTGTGACCCGACAAAGCTTCCAGCAGATTCTGAAGACTGACCACCGACACCCACTGCAGAGACACCTTGAACGTCTGATCTTTCCCCTCACCCGGCAGAGTCACTTCCAGATCCACCTGAAGAGGGAGAGGAAAGGGAGGGAAAGAGGACAAAGTGAGAGGAAGAGACAAATAATGAATGTTTGGAAATGGAAAGGAGAGCAGGTGACAGGGAGAGATTGAAGACAAAGTAGATAAGGAGATCAACACAGAAGGAGTCCTTAAATAAGTTTGCCTTTAACATTCAAATAGAGGTTCAAACCGTACATTATCTTAGCCCCACAGCTTTCAACAAATAGAAAGAAGATGGGGAAAGTGGACCTAATGTAAAAGTGGTTCAATAGTAGGCAGATTTCTTACATTTGACTCTGCTGTAACTAAGGGAAGGTTAAGATGTTATGGTTAATTAAGAGGTTAATGTCACTTTCTATCTATATTACAATGCAAGTATTTGAATAAAAACAAACTATTAAAAAGCCTGACAAAGCTGCTGTAAATGGAACAAGTACGAAAACGTAAGACCATTTCGATTAGAGCTCAGTCTAGTAATAGTCCTAATAAATCAGCACTGCAGCTCCTGGTCCAGCCTTTCTAAGCTGATGTAGCAACAAACTTCAAATCAACCTGTTCACTCTCAACCTAATCCACTGAAGTCTGCCGCCTTGTGCTCAAAATATGGACATATATACGGTGCTTAAATTTAATGAAACCATTGCGTGTGAACGTCTATCTTGTCTGTCATTTAAAGACACACAAGCTTATCTTTGTAAATGCTTGTGACACGAGAGTCAAGTGTTTGAAATACCAACCCTGTCTCTCCCAATCGGCAGAGGATGTGCCGTGTACATGTTCCTCTTCCCATCGTAGCCCGGCTGTCGGTCTCCAAAGATCTGCATCTTGAAGTGCCGCACCATGGTGTCCACCACCTCCCTGGAAGACAGGTACAACAGGGCGGTGAGACAAAAATACATTTTTGGAGACAACATTTATAAGAAATGATCACCACACAAGCATATTTATCTTCATTTTTAGCATATAGAGTTTCTGGCGCTTACGAGGACAAGTGTCATCATGTGCAGTCTGTTATGATAGCTAAAGATGCTATTTGTATTTAAACATTTTTACATATTTAAGACATCACTTTAAGACATCAGGTGCATTTTGCTGTTGTTGGTGGTCATTTACCTGTTAACCCTTCGAGGCCGTTTCTCAGGCTTAATGTCGATATCATAGTGATAGACATCAATCTTGGGAATCTGCACCTGGAAGTGGTTTGCCAAGAGCCGGATGGGTTTCCCCACCGTGCCGAGGCCGGGACGCCGCGGAGGCTGGAACAGAGAGGGAGGAGGGGCCGGCGGCCCTGGAGGAGGCATAGGGAGAAAGAAAAGAAGATCGTGAATCACCACAGTCTTAGAGGTAAATAAGGACTTTAAGTGACATGCCACTACTTTGCATAAGAATACCTGAAACAACTCTTAAATGTTAAATGAATTCCACATTAGTCATTACCTCCTCTTAGTGAAAACTAAACTTTAGAAATGCATGGATTCCTCCCCACAAAAGAAAGCTTCACAAAAAGCACTTTTGGCATTTATTCCGAAAGTGAACAAAGGTGGCGACAGAGTGTGGGACCTTATCTCCGCAAGAAAGCGTCATCAGAGAAAGCATAATGTGTGTGACGCAACTCAAAGATCGTTGCAAAGCATCTCATCAGTGACACCTGCTTGAATGCACTGAAATGGTCTCACAGCCCCGGAGGCGCGGATACACGTCTTGATTGATCCGGGACTCTGGCCTCTGACCTACATGGGTCAACAAGGGGCCTGGCGAAACAATGACCTCCAATTATCATTTGGGCACCGCCCCCCGCAGCCCCACCCAGACACACAGGGCACCCACCCCCTCACGCCGAGACAAAGACGGAGCTCCTCTCAGACAGACCGCAGCAGGGACATATGGAGGGTGGGACAGAGGGTCTGGGATTACCGTTACACACACACACATATATCACTCACATACACATTACATACTGAATACACAGGTACCTAAGACAGGTGTGGGGCTTATGAGGATTGTGTTGTAGCACAAAGAGCTGCAGGCTATGGGGAACAAAACACCTTGAATGCAGCCTTCAGTTGAAATCATGACATATATTCACTCAAGATCTCAGTTTTGACTAGATTCAGAAACAGGTCTGTTGCCAAGTAGGCATACGAGGGATTTGCATTCTGTATGGTGCATACATAAACACACTCAAAGAAAATATTTTGTAAGAAAAGAACCAAAAATGTAAACATAAAAAAACTCTTTTACACATAAACACTACTTGTTTGAAATTGCATGGACGTAAAGGAGGCAGCGTGATGCCATCGGTTTCATTTATTTTGGCAGAGCAGGTATCCTTCAAAGAGGAAACGCACGGAGTTCATCTTTGCTTTGAATTTTGGGACTTAATATATATATACAGACAACATTAAAACAACATTGTGTTGGTGGTATTGAAGGAGGTTGGATCAGGCCGCTCACAGTTTTTGTTAACTGACAGCTAGGGGACTGCGGGGGTCCTCCCGAACTCTACGCTCCCACGCGCTCCAGTTAGCAAGTGAAGCGCGAGAGCACGGACAATCGGGACCCTCCCCATCGCTTCCTGAGAACACGCTTCCTAACATGCCCTGTTCTAGCGTGGGCCCCAAATCACCTCCCCTTGCCCTCCTCAACCACCCACTCCTCCATCTCCATCACCCATCAGCTTGATTGTATTATACTACCATTCAGCTTTTCTACATCATTATTTTGCTCACGATACCAAATAAGAATACATTCGTGGCATTTTTCTTTTCTTCATCACGACTTGGATTAAAACCCATTTTATGATTCACTCCACTTTGTCCTACTGGCCTTACCGATGGAAACAAAAGGTGCACAGAGAGCGCCGTTTGTATAGTTCTACATTATGCATCACAAGCTCACTAAAGCATTTCAAGTGCATTGCAAGCCAATAGTATTTCAAGTGCATAGCATAGTGACTAAAGGGAGCTATACAAGCTTAACACAACATTCTGTTTTCGGTGGAGGAAAAAACTTTAAATAAGTGCAGTTTGATAAAACACCACAACCTCAAGCTACACAAAAAGGACCAAAGAGTTGAGATTAAAGCTCCTTTATACAAGTCTGACCTTTCAAAAGCTCATGCAAATTGTAGAACTGCTGTGCTCAGGGTTTCTAGAGGGATTTTTATCTTTGTAATGCGACAGAAAACATAAATGATGACCGTTTGTTATTTTGTAATTTGTATAATTTCTACTTTTATCTTTAAAATAAATGTATGCATGCTACTTAACTAATACTAAGCTATCTTTGGGTCTTTACTTGCTGCAACACGTGTACATTTCCCCGACAGATTTTTATCATCGTTTCATTTGACATGCTCAACAACATGTCAGAAAATATTGAACATTTGCACAAATGCCACACACACACACACACACACACACACACACACACACACACACACACACACTCTCTCACACAACCACACACACACACACACACACACACACACACACACACACACACACACACACACACACACACACACACACACACACACACACACACACACACACACACACACACACACACACACACACACACACACACACACACACACACACATTTAGCAAAGCAACAAACAGTTAACTAAATATCTGAAGATTGACAATCATACATCTTCTAATGGTTACAGCTCTGGATCATACCATTCAAAGTATGAAGGTATGGTGGAACGAGTGGACAGGGGTTTCCCTTTATCTCTGCTGGCGTACATTTTGCTGTGTGTGAGCAGCAGAGAGAGAGTCGGAGGTCTTCCTCTTCCACTTCCACCAAAAGCAGAGCTGTACCTAAATATAGCCTCCTCAGCTGCCACACTACTACACTTGGATATGCATGTGTCTCAACATAAAATGTCTGAACTCATCCTTCCTCCACTTCCTGTCTGCTCACCACAGCCTAACCAGGCTGAGGAGGGAATGATTCAAATGCCAATTATTTAAGGTAATGTCTTCAAACTGTTAGTCAGACAAACCGTCCAAAACCCACACATAATCAGTTTGCTATCCTTTAAACTGAAGAGAAGCAATCTATTCACATAATCCTGCAGCCAGAGAAAACATTTCTCAAGTTTGCTTTAAAGATAACAAATGAAATAATTGCCTAAAATATCAACAACAAAAAATCAATATATCAAAAGACTTCTTCAGCTGTCTTTCTTGTATCCTATACAACAAGAGTATCAAATCATCTCATTTGAGAAGCTGAAACCGGAAAATGTTTGGCTTTTTTCTTTCAATTATTATTCTATCCATTGACTAACCAATTACAAATTAATCTTTTCAACTCTAACTAAACATAAAAACTAAAGATCAAGATTGCAAAAACCAATCAGCATGGGTATGTAGATCCAAATAAGGTAGTGTTTGTGGTAAACGTTGGGTCACTACAGTATTTTGTAAGATAAAAAAGCACTTGTCCTACATTCATGTGACAGAGAATATTTCCGCAGACCAAACTGTCACGGGGGGGGGAAAGATGGGCCCAGGCAAGCAGACATAAAAAAAATTCACCAACAGCCCCTAATATGACAAAATTCATGAGGAACGTCACATTAAGATTGAGGCCATGCAATATCACCGAGTGCAACTTAATCAGAAATGTAATTAAAGCTACAAATATGCAGAACATTTTGTCCAGAAGACGCCAGCTCCTAAGTGATTTATTCACCGAATACTCACTTCTTTCTTTGTCACAAGCATATTTTGATAAGAATGTATGATCTTTATGCCAAGTGTGTTTATACATTACTTAAGCAGTGAAGCATATTGAGTTGATTTAAACAGGTTAAACTATTTTTATAAATAAACATTTGAATAAGATCTAGGTATCCAATTTGGAATCCTGCAGACTTGTCAAAAGTCACATTTGAACAACTCATGAAGAAAAAGAAAGTTGCCAACATAAAATGAAACTTCTTCTCTAAGTGACACCGAGCTGCAGCTACTTTGAGACAATGAGGAAGTGAAATTAGCTTTCCTTGGCGCGGAGGATGACAGATGCACTAGAGCCAAGAAAGTGTTTCTGCTCCTTATGTAATCCAAGTGCATCTTTTAGCTAAAATAGACCAACAGACTCAATAAGCAACACAACATAAAAAAAAAATTCAAAATAATGTTTTACTTTCCACTGAGTGAATGTATAAAAAGATGAAACTGTGTGTGGTGTACTAACATTAGAGGAGAGGTTGTACTACTCGTGCACTGTAGAGGCTTGTAATGCTATGTGTGTCCAAGGTAACCACAGTGAGATCAAGCAGAGAGTCGGCTGGGCTTAAGCTAAGCAGGAGGAGGATGATGATGATGATGGCTCGGCCTGGTGATGAGTCAGAGACTAACAGCAGGGGAGCGTGCTGACGCCCACACCTGCAGCCACCTGATCACAATACTACCCTAGAGGAGGAAAAGAGGACCATTCACAAGAAGGGAATATCTGCCACTCAGTGAAGAGAAGCTTAATGTATAGCTGTAGCTACAGGTGCAACTCATTTCAACTGATAGACCAGAAAAGCTATATTCTGTAACCAAAGAAATGTCACCTCTTCAGTTAATTTTCAAGTGAATGCATTCCTTGACTGGCAATGGGAGTACATCAGCTAAATAACACACATATCCAGTCTATGTGTAATAGCTCATGCTGGGATTAACGTCAAACATACCTACATTTGAGCAGTTATAGTGTTCATTAATTAACCTACAGGCTTTTGCCTTTTCCCACCAATCGATGCGTGTGTATTCATGCAATGGAGTCATACTTTTCCTAATAATTGTGAATTTCTTGGTCATGACTCATGTGTAACATTTTCAGCGTCAGCGGGCTCATCTTCGCATCAGTTCACTCCCCCTTGAGTTAACTGTTGCCTCTATTTACGAATTTACCGTGACCATCTGTGTATTTGTGTCAGCTGCATTAAGTTTGGATTTTAACACCACTTCAACAGTTTCAACTAAACAGAACAAAATAACATGTTAAATTAGCTGCTCTGTGAAGACACCCCAGACCTACATCACACTGTGAGACACTACATGACGGGGAGCTTTCTAAAAAGGACTCCAGCCACAAGTGTGTCATTCTAACAAGGTTTGACATTATCTTCAGTTTGTCTATGCGCATTTAAAAAGAGCTACAGCATCCTTTCTTGTAATGCGTTGCTAGACGTACAATTAAAAGTGTGATCGTATTTTGATCTTGTCAAAGTATGCATCCTAGTCAAGGCAATGACTGTGAAAGGTCTGAGAATAGTACTGGTGTATCCCTGGTTATCATTACAAATGTGAGTAAATAGTGTGTGCTAGCAAGCCTAAATCCACACTCCAACTTGCAAGGTAAGAAATTATGAATGACTAAAAACTATAATACTAGTCCGCCCTGAAATATGTTGTGATACAGGTTACAGATACATGTCCTGCTGTTATCATAGATGATAATTGATGGCTTGCACTGATTATGGTGGCACTTACACCTGTGGCTGGTTGTACACTATTCTTGTCTCCTTATATTCCAGTCTGGTGTTGGCATGTAGCTTATACTACCACCTTTCTTACAGAGCATGTGGACAATGTGTGTGGACATGCAAGCGATTCAATAGCTGATAGCTGCACTTAATTCGTTGTGTGATAAGGGCTAGTTTCACCATCAAAATGAGGAAACGGTTTGTCCATGTTGAAAAAAACAGTCATTTTGCAATAAGAATGCATTGTATCACTGGGTGTGCAGGTGTATGGCTGCCATATCTCCGCAAGCTTTATCATTTGGTTACTGCATCGCTGCAAAATAAGTGCCTTTGTTATCATATAGGGGAATATTGTAGAGCTGGCCTGCAGATCTGATCGATAAAAGCCCATCCATCCCTGCTGGGCTCTCATACGCATGGCACTTTAACCAATGACAGCCTCGCATAAAACCAGTAAATTGTGAGTCACAAAACATGCTCCTTCAACGCTTGTAACGTGCGTTTATTTTGTTTCCCACCCATCGCTGTCATCTAGTACGGAAGGCAGCCCGAAGAGACGTACTGTTCCTGATGGCGATGGTACAAATGTAGATGGTTTCGCAGCAATAATTTGATACAGGTAGCATATTTCGACGTTATTGTGTGGTCTTATTGTAGGAATTAAGTCGTATTGTGTGAGCAAAGACAAACACGTCGAAAACAAACAAAGTAAACACACTACGACGCGGAAGGGAAGGAAGGAAGGTCCTGGTTAAATCCCCACTCACACAATGCCAGCTCCGACACGACGGGCAGAGTGCTTCAGAGAAATATAACCGCGCAGACATTACTGAATAACCGTTTTTAAACACCAGCCCTCCTCGTACATACACAAAACGTGGCTCCCGCTCGGTGTAAATAAAGCCCGACACACATATACACCGCAAACACACACACAGGCTGGGCCTCGGTTTGTTTTCCCGTCAGAGCGTCAAGGCCTCGCTGCAACCGCGGCCCCCAGTGATGCGACGCATTTGCGCAACACGCTCCCCACACACGGCCATCTCTCCCCGCTGCCTGCTGTGTGTCTCTCGTATTTCTTACCCGGTCCGAGCGCTTCCATTTCGGAGGCCTCGTCTCCTTCCGTCTCTGTCCCGGCCTGGCGGCTCCGTACCGAGGCTGAAATTGGGGGCGGTATCGCGAAGCTTAATGTGGCTAATTTAAGAAAAGGGAATATAGATAGATGCGTGGATGACTGCTGAGTGAACTAACCGACCCAAGCCACCGCCGCTGCTGCTGCTTCTGGGGATTTGTAAGTGCGCATGCGCCAGTTAGAAGCTTTTGAGTACAATGTGCGCATGCGTAATTTGCTGTACCGCACAAGGGGTGGGGGGGTGCATGTATTTAAATGTTTACTTGTATAACTTATATTCATGGATTAAAATCATTAATGCATTTTTGTGTTTCTCTTATGTCAACATTGTAATTAAGAAAAGCTATTGGTTAAATGTTGTTAGTAACTTCACACCATTGACTAGAATACAGTCACACAACATTAGATAGAAAGTAGGGAAAAGTTATCAAATTAGGGTTAAAAAGTCAAGTTAATTGGTTCTCAATTTGTTAGTAAATTAAGGGAATACTGAATTTCTTGTTTAAGAGTAACTACTTAATTGAGCAGGGCTTTACTTAAGTATTTATTTTGTAAAGGATATTGGAATAAGCCCTACTTCAAGGTTCAAGGCTTTTATACGTCACGTGTAGTTACGACGATGAAAATCTTAGGTCACAGGCTCCTCCAACAGTGCAACACAATAAAACAAATAAAACAGAACAAAATAGTGCAAGTAAATAGTAAATACAAAAGGAAAAATAGTAAAAAAGTGAAATAGTGAAATAGTGCCAGTGATTGGAATGATATATTAGATGAATATATATAGATACCTCGACTCAACTGGCTGCAACTTTAAAGTAATGCTTACGGATTGATGAATTGATTTTTGCATAAATTCAGTAAACAGAAATAATAATGATCCTCCAGCCCTTGGTTCTGTCATTATTTACTTTGAAGATAACACTCTGACTAAGAACAATGTTCTAATATATTACATTACATGTCACTTGTTAGACGCTTTTATCCACTTACATACTCAATACTGTGAGCAATCCCCACAGGAGCAATTTGGTGTGAAGTGTCTTGCCCAGGGACACAACGACATGCTGACTGCAGTGGGGTTTGAACCTGTGACCCCCTGATCCGAACACCAACGCACAGCGCCACACGCCTGCATATTGACTTAAAATAGAGAACCTCTGTTACAGATTTTATTTAAATTTTTGAAAGTAGGCCTATATATTCGCTAAATCGGTATCTGAAGAAACTCACTCAATACGTTGAAGTCAAAGATATCAGTGATTGCAACGAATACCAAGTTATCAAAAGTTTCTCAGTTTGTTCTTTGTTTCTTTGTTTCCCCAGTAAATTAATATATGGCAAAAAACCTTAAGTAATTCACTTTTCAGCCATTGTGTCAATCTGGGTTTTGCACCTACCTAATCATTACAACTCAAATGTGTTCCTATATTCAATTATTGTATGCCTAATACTACTGCACAACAATTTCACTCGTCATGGGATAATAAAGTTTAATATTTTACGACCTTCCCTTTTGTTAACCCCCCTCAACCCCGCCCGCCTGAGGACTCCCGGCATTAAAAGTCAGCTCTCAGCAAGCCGTGTCGTCACACTGGGCGGTAACAAACGTCCCAGACGGACCAATAGGAAAGCGAGAACGAGAGGATTGACACTCGATGACGAAAAACTGCGGGCCAGCTGTCACGGCGCGCGAAATATCAAATTGTCTAATCGGTGTGTAACGTTAGGGAACAGGCGGGAGGAAGAGAAGCAGCCCGGTTAAATTCTTTATAAATGTGCTTTACAAGTCTAAAATAGCCTTTGTCACGCAGACATTTGCTTCTCCGAGTCAGTTGTGGCTGCCGGGAATCCACGAAGCGTCTGTTTCCGCTGGTTTATTTAACAAAAGAGCGAAAACTAGACGGCGGACAAAGATGAGCCTGGTCGTCTCTCAACAACAGGTGAGGAAATGTAACTTTCGACATCGATTTACCGTTAAAGTATCAGACTGACATATATGTCACCCTAGCTATAAGTTAGGATAAAAGACAGGCAAGATCACACGTATTCAAGAAAGACAGACATGTGCTAATAGCAGCTGTAGTTAGCTTTAGCCACATAGCTAACGTTGGCTGGCTAGGTTATGTTTAGCCAGTTGAAATGGTGGTTGTCCTCTTGGCCTGGTCACAACGATCAAATGCATGCTAGTTAGGCGTTTTATATTGTTGACCATTGTTCAAATCCTACATCTTTGAAGATTATATTATCTGTAGTGAAATAAAATTGTGATTTGTCCCTGAAACACTTATAATGTATGGTACATGTTACATTAGCCAAGGTAACTGCAAATGCTGAAACGAATTAATGTCGCCAGCTAACGCACTGCTCATTGTTTGGTGTATTCCAAGGCGCCACTAAGGTATTATAACACCAATCCGGCTGCTTTAACTCACACAATCGAAAACAATACATACATACCATTGCAAAGATAACAAATATTGTATCTGAAACTGGATATTGACCTAGTGCCCCCGATTCTAGATTATAGGTTACTTAGGCAGATAATATAATAATGTATACTGACCTATGTTGCAAGGGATTTAAAAGGAGCAACTATTTAAGCTTCTTAGAGAGTGCTGTTTGATTTAGTGCCAATATTATTATATCTGTTAATTCAGAAACGGACCAAAAAGTGACATATTGAGTTTTGGAATATATCAATAGCTGCAAGCTCCACTTTAATTATGCAAGTTAGTTATACATAGCAACCTTTTGAATTATTTTATCTATTGTAATAGTATACAGAGCAATAATACAGAAAGTGCACTTTATCTTTATTTTGTGTTTTTGTTCCCAGACTGAGGGTCTCCCGGCTGTGGTCCCAACGACCGCAGAGAGTGATTCAGACAGCGGGATGGGTTCTCCAGAGGAGGAGATGGTGGTGTTGGAGGCAGCCAACAAAAGAGTGGAGCTTCCAGGTAAAGGAACACAACAAAAGATGACAATTCAGCCTGAGAGAGATGGGGCAGGAGCCACTTTGGCTGTGTAAATGAGGGCATTCAAGTTAATTTCCATACAATAACAAACACTTCTTACATGTAGACACAAAGCTTACAATAAGTGCAGTACTCAAATGACTATTTAAATCGAATACAAGGATCCACTTAACTCATGCAAAGTCAAATCTATCTTTACAAAATGTCTAAAGATTTGAATAATTAAATGTGTTTTTATTCTGCATTGACTGCACGTGCAGAATAAAAATGGTATTCATTTGTCTTATTTTGAAGTGATGCATTATTGAGATATACTAGAACATATACAAACAGTGTTTCCCTTAGGATGGAGTCATAGCAGCGGTGCTAAGGCACGTGGGCCCAGCATAATGTGAGCGTGGACCACGTGGAATTTTTTTTGTGTGTGCGCCCTGCCAATTTGTTTCTATGTGTCAGCACAAGAAAGGCTCTTAAGGCCTAGTACCAGGGCCGGTTCTAGCCAATTTGCTGCCCTAGGCAAGATTTTAGGCGAGATTTTATACATAAAGATTAAATGAAAAATCTCTACAAAAGACACTACAAAAACAGAAACTTATTGACATAGGTAATATACATCAAAATGGCTTCAAATGTATTCATTATTGTATGAACATGTTTGAATTGGGGGGTGGACGTCACTTCCTCTAGAGGGGTCCGGGGGTATCTGGTGCACTTTGAGCACACAATTACTAGAGACCTGATCTAGGGGCTACAACTCTAAAACACCCATATGAAAAAGATTGGTTTACATTTTAATAATTAAATAAGTATGTGAACATAACCAATAACTACCATAGCCAATAACAAATAAATGTAGCTTATTTTATTTTTGTTCATTCATATCTTATTTTACCTAGTTAACATTTATTTATTTATGCATATTTTTGTATCTCTCCAACTTTAAACGATATTTTTGGATTACTGTCCTATAGTATACATTGGAATGATTTCAAACCTGTTTTTATTTATCCTAATAATTATAAAGGAGTGCCTTGGAAATATGTGTTTACATAATTTGTGGTCAAAAAGTTTGAGACCCACTGAGATAACTTAGACTAAAATTAACTTATCTAAACACTCAGAGTCCTTAACCTCACTGAGCCTCTCAGTCTGACAGGAGAGCTCTCCTCCACCCTGGTTGTAGAAACATCTACTTCTTATATCCGTTAGCACTGCTAGCACCAGATTCTAATTAACAACAGCGCCGGTACCGGTGCGCTCGCTCTCTAGCTCCCACGCTCGCACTTTGGCTGTGAGCTGCGGGCGCCTGATAAGCCAACATCCCCCACTTTCATCACTTACAGCGCCCATCGTACAGAGCAAATAAAAAGTGTAACCGGGGTGAAAAGGGTGTTACATTTACTTAATTATGAATGTTCTTACATCAAGGCCGAAAATGTGGATGAGCGCCAATGGTCAAAAAAAAATGTTTCCGTCCCAGAGCTGCCAGCGCAGCGCCCCCCAGATCTGGCGCCCTAGGCGATATGCCAAAAATCGGCCCTGCCTAGTACATACAGTGGCAATGTCTCAACATTTAGCAAAAATACACCTTTATTGAACATACAGTAACACAAATACTACAGATCCTATTATTATTATTTTTTTGGGTACCTAGCTTGCGCCCCCTAGCAGCGGCGCGCATATTTCAGCAGCGGCGCTGCACCGCCACTATTTGTATATAGGGGAAACACTGACAAATAAAAGCACAACAGACCGGACAAACGGAACCAATATCAGAACAATTACAATTAATCTGTATTTTGTGCCATATATTTGATTGGTTCTAAATTGGTATTTTGTTTTCAGATTCCGAAGACGATGAAGACATCACTGTTCACAGAAAGCCTCATCGTAATGCCATAAGAGACAGTGAGAGTGAGGAAGAGGAGGCGGCTGGGGACAACGGTGTAAACATGGCCGAAGCCTTAGTCTTATCTGCTTCCAGCGGAGAGGAGATGGAGACTGAAAAGGCAGAAAAGAAGGGTGATAGGAAAGAGAAAGGGGCCCAGAAGATAACAAAAATAAAAAATG